CAACAGTCAGATTCTGGTGGCCCTGTCAAGATAAAATCATAAAACATGTCAAACAAATTTGTAATTATGCTTTTGACCATTTTATCGTCACATTAGTTCAAGTGGCGTTACAAGTTGGCAAGTAAAACAAAAACCAAAAATCTAGTCAAGAACTTCTTGGCTGGCAGCGGATAAGACAAAAGTGCCAAGAAATGAAAAATTTTGGAAACTAAACAAAAATCTGACTAATCAAGAAGAAATCTCAAAATTTAATTCTCACACAAATGTCGGTCGGTTGGTTGGTCGGTCGTTTAATCTATCCATTAGCCATTCTTCTGCACATTAGTGCCCATGCACAGAGATAGACAGACCCCAATGTATGACTTGGGGACGACCTTCAAACCAAACTTCAATTCTCATGGTAATCCAATGTTGGTTGGATTACTTGTTGGCTGGTTGTCGTTGTTGCCCGCTGTGTGAACTTCAATCTGAAGTAATGAAGCAGCAACAAATGGCAAACAAAACTTACAAATTGCGATCAAAATTCAAAAAATTGAAATCATCATCCAAATCGTGTCGTTTTTACTTGAATTGCAAAGCCAGCTATAGCATAGCTAGCTAGCTTTTATGGCAAGAGCAATGGTGTGTTTCACCTCTTTTGTTTTTGTGTTTATTTTGCTTGCCAGCACAACAACAATCGACATTCAGAATGACAAACAACAATTGAATTTAAGCGGATGATGTTGATGATGGTGGCTCGTAGTGCATGAATGGAACTTTGGAAGATTTCAAATGATATCTAAGAATACAGAAATATTAGATTCTTGACGTTAGTGCGGCGACCAGGTTCTTGACATAAAGAAGAACGGATACGAGGAGGGTTTTTGGAAATTAAAGGGAGAATATTTACTATTTATTGAAATGATAGTACTAATGGTATTAATGACAGGGATGGGAAATCAAGTATTTAAGCGCATTTTTGGATTCACAAGGTACTAGATCCCGCATCGTTTGATTCATACCTTAAAAACAGGTCAATTGAAAATTTGTAGGATAGATGGTACTATAATATATGTCACTATAGCATAAATATAAATTCAGAGTTGAAGTACCTGTTGAGCCACATTGCCTTATTCATAACTTCAGTAAGGGGTATATATACAACAGGTTAATTGAAAATTCACCGCACTGATGTATAGATGGCACTGGTAGCATCCATTCTTCTGATTATAGAGTGAGAAAAAATTATTGATCAGAAATGAACAGAAAACCCATAAAAAATGTAGAGCTAGAGTGTATCGACGTTTTGAAAGTTGACATCGCAATCCCAAAATAGGGCTTGGAAATGGCATTTTTATACCCTCCATCATATTAAAAAGGCTCATTCCATTCGTAACTCCTCGAAATACGCATGATAGATCCAAAAAAGTATATACAGGGCGAGGTGGAAAAACTGCAACCAACTTCAGACTGCTGACATTTTTAAGCCACTCGTCCGACAGCTGTTGAAATTATTCCAGTGACAGCTCATTATATTGTTTGCAAGCGTACAAAAGCATTTTGGTGAGAATTTTCCAAAAAAAAAAGTTATTCGTGATGGAATTCAAGCGTGATAGTGTGATTTCTTTATATTTGACTGGAAAACCACAAGTGTCTATTGTTAGAGCATTCCAGCATTTATCGTTTGTGTCTCGTACCATCGCTCGCTACCGTGATACTGGTAGCGTAGCCCGGTGTCAAGGAAGTGGACGGAAGAAAACAGTAACATCAACAGAATTGTTCAATCGTGAGCTGAACATATCGCAATATTCCATTTAGCAAATATTGAAAAATGAGCTCGAGGTAAAGCCATTGAAATTCCAAAAAGTGCAAGAACTTACCCCACAACAGAAAGGAAATAGACTCAAAAGAGCTAAAGAGTTGCTTCGCTTGGCCGAAAGTGGTGAACTGCTGAATTTGGTTTTCTCCGATGAGAAAACATTCGTTGTCCAGCAGTTTGTAAACAAACAAAATTATCGTGTTAACTTGCCAAAGAGGTCAGCTGAAAATGTGCGCCTTCGGTTGGCCACCAGAACTCAAGCGCCGGCCATGGTGAAGGTGTGGGCCATCATAACAGCCGATGGTCACTCTCCGCTCGAATTGATCGACCGTGGCATCAGAATACAATCTGAATATTATAGCGAAAATATTCTGGAGGGTGTATTAAAGCCTTGGGCTTGGAAAGCAAGGTTGGCACTAAAAAAATACCAAAGTGTCGATCACCTCAAGTAAGCACTTCGCCGGAAATGGTCCAAAATACCGCAGAGCAACATTCGGGCAGCGTGTGACGGTGTCATTGGCCGTTTGAAAGCCATAATTCGCGCCAAAGTTAACCAATTCGAACAAATCTAAACTTATTCTAAAATATGATGCTATTTCCGAAGAGACGCGGTTTTGATACGCCCACTTCCCCCTTTTTGAGCTTTTGTACCTTTTCCGACTATGTGGTAGATAACTTGGCAAGCTAGTTCGTTGCTAACTTTCTTATGAACGAGATGTTATCCTGAAGTTGTTCTATTGCTTTTAAATTCGGTTGAAACAGTGTCTACGAAGATCCTTTTTAAAGTATCTGTCCATAATCAACTTAACCTCGGCACGTTAAATTAATTTTCGCAATGGCCTAGGCGTTTTAACTACTGCTCAATTGAATGCATTTTGCCGAGGCAGCGTCTCAGCAGCCACTCAGTTTTACTCAATATTTCAGAAGCGGATGCACACTAAATGATGTGTCAATTGGCGATTCCTAGTGGTTCTCCCCAATTGGTTGTCTACGTGCATTGTTATGTTGGCCGCGACAAATGATAACGCATACCATTTGGCGTGTCCCACGAAGTCACGCCTTAGCTGCCAGTGTAGGCCGATGTTGAACTAAACTATCCTGAGCTGAGGTCCAAATCAGTAACACTTCTTCGAATATCTTGAGCCGTCTATGCCCAGAGGATCACAGTACATATCCTGATCTTTTATCTTTAAAAGATTGCTGTGCTGAATTTATTCAAAGAGTACTTGGCTATCGTATGACAGACACAGACCCACCAACAATTCAACAGTTCGACGGGTTAAAAAGGATTTAGGAAATGCTGAGTGTGTGTGTACTTGAATTGTTGGAGTTCGAAGAGAATTCCGAAAACGGTGGATTTGTCGTGTGCTAAAACTGAAAACTTTGATAACATTTTGTACTTCTGGTCATCTTTTTTACAAGTACTGATATTACCATCCGGTACAATCTAGGACTGATTTATTGCTAGAAGATTATTCGGATTTGGAAGAAAGTTAGAAAATTTTTACCCGTATACAGAATCCAAAATGGTGTGCAGAAATGTTCGATATCGAACCGAAATCAATTTGAGCGATTAATGTGGATTCTAAACGTCTGATAAGACATCAGAAAATTTTAATTTTAGACCGATTTCGGTTAAAAGATTGAAAATTGCTTCTTATACACACCGAATATCTCTTTTTTGTCGTTGAATTAATTGAAAGAGTAACCTATGTAGCTATGAGGCTGAGGATATAAAAATTTGGGAAATACGTGTCGGAAAAGCCTTCTAAAAATTTGGTAGGAGCTTTAGATTTTCAGACGATTTAGGACAATATTAATTAAATTAATTTTAAGGGTCTAAGTTTTTTCTCCAAAAGAGAAGAAAAGGGAAATAATCACTCGAATTGCAATCGGACCGATGTCCATCAAAAGTATCGGAAAACAATTCAAAGAAGGAGCAGAAATTTATCAATTTCCAATTCTTTCGCTTACTATGTGAAAGCCACTCATTAAAGTAAAATTTGAGTTGACTTTGACCGTCTCGGTATCTCTAAAAAGTAGGTTTACCGTAACATGGGTCATGTGCAAAATCCTGCCAAGATATTGAATATTTCTGAGAGATTGTTGTCTTTTACTCGTTTCGTAAATAAAATACCAAATTTTTGTCCTATAAACATTATTGGCTCAAAGTAGCTCTACTCATTGGGATTGGAAAATAGGTCACGACCTTGAAAAGTCTTAAAATCGATCGGTACCACTATATGAACTTATGCCAAAACTATCACCAATTCTTTTCGTGAAACAAATTTCTATTCAACGTCCAAAATTACAGACAACTTCAGTTTGAAAGCGGGGCCTAACTCCCCAATATAGGAAAAAACGCTTAACACACTTATCACATGCAGATCTATATTGAATATATTTACATGGAAAGTTCAAAATCATCTGAATTACAAGAAAAAAAGGAAATAAATAAAATTAAAAAAAAAAATATTTGGATAAAAATGTTTTCGAAATCTCCAACACATTTCAAATCAGTAGATTCTATTATATTTGAGCTGCACCTGAACGTGGACCGATATTTCAAAACAAACCCTCCATATCTGCGCCAAGTTTATAAAAATCTATCTCAAATATTGCAAGTTCTATTACGATTAAAAAAGGTTAGCGGATGGGCACACTCTTACTTAGATATAATTAAAACCGCAAACAATTTTGGTCTGATGTACAATATATATATTTTTTTCAACCAATATTTTGAGGTGTTACAAAGAAAATGATAAAATTAACATATTTTCCATCGGGTGGAGGTAAACGTCAAAATTTTTATTTTCCACAATTTTCAAGTGAACCTCGTCCAATTGATGTTCTTCAGATTGCATGAAAAAAAAAACTAAACTCTTCTATCAACAACAGCAACAACAAGAACCCCCAACTGCAGCATAAACAAGAACTAAATGGCCTCGACACAAAAATACAACAAAAACAACTAAGCTTTAAATTTTAATTCAGCAAAAAACCAAATTGTAATAAATATTATTAACTTCCAAGGAGGAGACGCAATATCGTAAAAAAGTTTGTTGGGTTGTTGGAGAAACACACACAAAATGGTTTCAAACTTGACTAAATGTGGAGAACACACAAGTATGAGGGGGGGGGGGGAAATTATTTAATATCGTAAAATGAGAAAAGTAAACGTTGTCTCTCTTTTTTGTATGTGAGAGAGCTCCCAAATGTTTGTTATGAAAATGAAAAGTAAAATCAGAGCACACAGATTGGTTATGAGAGCAATTTCTCTTTTTGTGTTGTGGGGAGAGTGAGAGTGTGAGAGCAATGTGAAGCTTAACCGATATCGTGTTTTGAAAAACAAAAGTAAAACTCACTATGCCTCCAAGCTAGCTTACTAGCTGGCTGGTTGGTTGACTGCTTGCCTGGCCACCACACTGTTGTAATCAAACCAGCTTTTCTTGTAACCAAACTTGCTCTAGCTCTGTTGTTTGTGCAACTGTGGTTTTGTTTTCTGTTGTAGTTGTTGTTGTTATTAAACCATGGTTATAACGACGATGAAAGCTTTTTTTGGTTAAACTTCTTCAGCTGTTTGCGCTGCTTGGCTGGCTGGCACTACCGCTAATTGAAAATGAATTTTTAGTCTGCCACAAGTCTGGCTCGAAAACGGTTGTACAAAGACGCTTGGTTCTTCTTCTTTTCATCATCGGTTCGCACGTTCGTTCGTTCGCTCGCTTATGTTATTTTGTATGTCAAACGACCGTTCGTCCGCATGCCCGTTTCTCCGCTTGTTTTCATTTCGAAATTGAAAAAGCAGCACGATTGAACACCACAAGTACGACGTACGTGTTTCTTGGATGCGGTCGCGTGTTTCTTGTGAGCATTGAAAGGAAAACAGCCAAGAAAACGAAAAGAAAATTCCAAACAACTTTCGCATTCAGTTCAAAATACAGATCGCGCGCGCGCTCTCTTGCTCTACTCCTGTGAGTGTTGTGATCGTGAGTGTGTGTGTGCTACGCTTGAGATCCGTCTGAAAATAAGAAAAAAATATACTTTGCGTACCAAGATCCGCATTTTGTTGTGGACTTTCATGTTTGGAAAAGAAGAAACCTAGAAAAAGAAAAAAAATATTTCAAAAAAGAAAGAAAGAAATTTTCAATGATAAAATAATTTGAAAAAAATAATTAAATATTGAAAAAGAAAATAAAGAAAACAGTGCTAAAATGTTAAATTAATAAAAAAAACAACAACAACCTCAAAACAAAATTTTAAAATTGAAAAAAAAACAAGAATTTCAAAAAAATTGATTTCATGAATGTTTGTTACGCTCGGCAAGCTTATGAAACTTGCAACGCCGTATAACAACAACAACGACCAGGATTATGAGACCCAACACAGGCCAACCCTTAACACAGCAGCAGCATCCGGCAACGTTACAACACCACCAGCAGCAGCAGCAATATTTGGACAGCAACAACCATAAACATTTACCACCTCCACAATCGTCCACATCTTCATCAGCAGCAGCAGCAGGGGTGTATGTGCACCAAGGATTAGCACTACCACCAACACCCTCATCTTCCCAACAACAGCAATCCAACTCCAATTCCTCGCATCACCACAACGTACCTGGAAGCTCCTATTCACAACATCCCCATCATCAACATTCAACGCCACCTGGTCCCCATCATCCACCTCATCATTATCCAACACTACATCACCATGCTGGTGGCCATCAGATGGCAGGTCCTCCTGGACCGCCTCATCCCTTGTGGAATCATGCAGCATGTTATTCGGGACAGAATTCCACAAATCCCCACATGAATGTACAAAGCAATCGGGGCCAATTTCAACTGGGACCACCACCCCCAAATTCGCGTCACCCCTATGGTCCACCTCCACCCCAACAGCATCCAGGACATTTACAAAATTCCCAGCAACATCCCAATTCCCAATCCCATCATTTGCTACATGGTGCACATGGTCATGGCAATTATGGATCCCAAGGACCGACCCCCATACCCGGCAGTCACGGGGAACGCATACCCCTGACACCCCCCAATTATGCCAAACTGCCACCTCTCTCTGCTGTAAATCAGCAAAGGATCAATGAATGTGCCGGCATACCGCTGATATCCACGGCCACTGCCCATTTGACTCCAGGCCAGAGGCAAAGGATATCCCGCAAGCAATCCCATTCACCACCTGGGAAAAATTGGACCCATATCTTGGGCGCCAACAATGGAAATGCCCAATATGCCGCAGCACAATTTGCGGCGGCCCATGTCCAGGGAGCCCCCTTGATGATTGGCAGCAACAAGCCGACACAGCAGCAGCAACAACAACAGAAATCTATGGCGGAATATTGGTCTTCTCAAAACTTCAAACAAAGGGCAGGACAAGGTCCTCATCCACCACCCCCCTCTACATCATCCTCCTCCTCATCTTCGTCATCCTTTGGGAAAAATGATAAATTACGGACGCCTTTGCGTTATCAAAATTCTGCCCCAGCGGCCCTGAGTTCCTCCAGGTCCAAAGAAAATTTGGTGGGACAACAAGTGAAATCTTCTCAAAAGGAAGGGGAAAATTCGCCGACATCTTCCTCCTCCTCCTCCACTTCAAATTCCGGAGATGCCAATGGCAGCAGCGGAGGAGATACCTGTTTGCCCAGGATAATCAAGCCACGGAAGCGCAGAAAGAAGGACAGGAAGCCAAACAATAATCTGGTGAATGCCGTCTATTTGAAAATGGATGGTAAATTGGCCCAAGGGAGCGGAGCAGGAGTGGGAGGAGCCGGATCACAAAATTCCCTGGCCAAGAACAAATCATTTAAATCCTCCGAAGATCTGCTGAAATGCCTGGAGAAATTTTCACAAATCTCCAATTTGCAGCAGGAACAAAGCGGGGAGAGAAGGAGGGATATTACCAGGTTCCAGGACAGGAATTCCAGGAATTTGGAGGAAATTGTGGCGCCCACAAGTCCCACCTCAAAAACTTGCCATGGTGGAGACTTAAATCATGGCATTTGTTTTTGCATGGAATGCGATCCGCTGAAATCCATTTGGGATTATCCTTTACGCAGATCCCTCTCCGATTCCAGTAGCTCAAGTACCAGTGGCACTGGTTCCCTGAGTGACAATCAGGCCAGTGAAAATGATGCCCCAGACAATTGTTGGCCCAAAAGTAGAGCGGAAATTGTGGGTGTCATTGGCTCCAAGAGGATTGGCAACAGCCACAACAACAAAAATCAAATGCCTTTGAAGCCATCCAACCCAGAACCGCTCAAAGATGATTTGTCTTTGTACAACAACAACATTTTGGGAGGCATAAATTTAAGCAGTGATTTATTCAAATCCTATGGCAATGCCAACCTAAAGGCAACGGCGGCAGCTGCATCCAATGCTGCTCTGGAGGAGTGCCTTGCAGCAACATCACCCACGGCCTTAATGCTGCTGCCGGAGACAGCGGAGACACTGTTGACGCGTTCCATAAATGAAATCTCCAAGAAACTAATAGAAACGTGCTCCAATGAAGGCAATGAGCTGGTGGCCTTATCATCCTGTAATTCATTGTCTTCGTTTTCCAGTGCAAGCTCCTCGTCCTCGTCCTCATCGTCTTCGTCCTCGGCAAATTCCTCATGCGGTGCTGTGGATTTCTCCAGTGACAGCGGTATTGAGAGTGCCCACATTAATGGAGGCGATGATTTAGTTTTCAGTTTTGATCATTTGCATATTGCAAAGGCAGCGGGCCACAACAACAACTCCTCCTTTTCCACCAAATCCTCCTCAGTATGTGGCAACAATTCATCAACATCAGCATCATCGCCCACAGCCTCGAAATTTGTAATGGCAACAAATTTTCTAACATCGCCAACAATGCCGGCTGCAACACCTTTGTCACCCTCCGCCCTCGGCGTCACCACAAAGTCACAAAGTTTTGTGGCAACGACAGCACCCACCAATGGTGGTTTGGAATCGATTTTACTGGATTTGAATAACAATCAAATCCCCAAAGAACAAAAAACCATGGAGGAGTCAGAAAATCAACAACAGCAACAGCTACTAAAGTTCAATGGCCTGGCTGTTCCATCGTCGCCGTCATCATCATCGCCTCCACTATTTACAGCTGCACAAACGGATCAGCAGCAGCAATTTTTTAGCAATTGCTTTGAACTGATATGGCAACAGCAACGGCAGCACAATAAATTGGCAAATCAACATTCGGAACAATTATTTGCCTTAACCTCCTCCTCCACCTCTACGTCAACGTTTGTGGAAAATGTGGGATCACTGAAAACAGTATTTTCAACAATATCGTAGATTTTCAGACAGCTGTAATTATTTTCAACTAAAAAAACGAAAACAACAAGAAAAATGATGTGATTTTTTGCAAGTGATATAAACCTAGGACTGTGGGGAGGGGATGGAGGTTAAAATGGATTTAAAGTTACGATTAACAAGAATACCAGTATTTGTTTCGAAAAAATAAAATGGTGGAAGGTGGTTGGAAGCTAAGGATCAGCAGCAGAATAATGGTACTTTAATTGTGGCAGCAAAATCATGGGAGTCGAGGGACCAAAATCTTGAATCCTTTGAATTCGAAGGATCAGAAAATATCTGACTAAAAATATAAAAATTTTTTGTCACTCGAAGGACCAAAAAATCTGGAAGCAAGTAAAGAATAGAAAGCAGAATATTGGTGTTCTTTTTATGTGGCAGTAAAATAATGAAGTCGAAGTACCAAAATCCAACGAAAAGAAGGATCAGAAACTTTGAATTCAAAGGACCAAAACAATTTAATTTCTTCACCATCGAAGGACCAAATTTCTAGCATTTCATCGGCAGTCGAAGGACAAAAAATTTGAATACTTTTAACAGAAATGCCAGTATTTCGGAAGGTGATAGCATTTGAGAAGTCACAGCAGAATAATGGTTCCTTCTTCGTGGCAGCTGAATAATAGAATTGGAAACCCAAAATCTTAAATTTGTTTTTAAACGAAATTCCAGAAGTCTTTAATTCGAAGTACCAAAAATATATTTTCTTCGCCATCGAAGGACCAAAACTCAAGAATTTTTTTGGCAGTCGAAGGACCAAATATCTCGAAGAAAGTAAAGGATATGAAGCAGTTGCGTACTTTGTCGGAGCATCAAAATTATGGATATTTTTGGTCAAACGATGTCCTTTCAATTCGAAACAAAAAAAAATTTGAATTTCTTGAATATCGAAGGACCAAGATATTGAATATTGTTTGCAGTCGAATTATGGAATCGAAGGACTAAAGATGTGAACATTTTTGGTAAACGAAGCACTCGAACCTTTAAATTCGAAGGACCAAAGTTCTAGATATTTTAGCTCCACAAGGGACCAGAAACTTTGGAGTCGAACAACCTAAACACTCTCATTTCTGGATTATCGAAGGACCAAAAATCTAGAACTTTGTTGGCAGCCTAATTCGATTGGCCAGAATTCGTAATACCAGCAACGTTGAATCCGAAGGACCAAAAAACTTCCTTGCTTTATTATCTAAAGACCTGAATTATAGATTTTTTGGTAGTCGAAGAACCAAAAATCCAGAAGAATTAGAAGCAGGATAATTGTGTTTTCTGTGTCAGCAAAATTATGGGAGTCGAAGGACCAAATTGCTGAATAGTTCATGGTAAACCAAAGACCAGAAACTTTGAAATCGAAGGAACAAGTTTTTAGTTTGATTTCTTGATTATCGAAGGACCAAAAAATCCAGAAGCAAGTAATTGATAGAAAAAAGAAGTTGAAGGATCAAAATCTTGGCGAACGAAGGACTATTGGCTTGAATTTGAAGGAACCAAAAATCGAATTTCTTCACTAACGAAGGACCAAATATTAAGAATTTTGTTGGTACTCGGAGCACAAAGAAACTTAAATATTTTGGAAATCGGCAAAGGGTCATCAACTTAGAATTTTTCGACAGTCGAAGGACCATAACTTTATTTTTTGGTAGTCGAGGATATGTGGAGCACCAAAGAACGCATTTTCCTCGTTAACCATGGAAAAAAGACCGCATGTTTGTTGGTAAACGAAGGACTAAAATTATTGAATACTTTTGGTAAGCGAAGGACCAAATTATAAAACTTTTTCGCTAATCAAAAGACCGATAATTTTGCAAATTGGAATTCTTCCCTGTCATCGAAGGACCAATAATTAGAATTTTTGCTTGCAATCGAAGGACCAAAATTTTACAACCATTTATGATACATGGAAGCTAATAACTCAACCTTATGATGAAGGACCAAATTCTGCAGCTGATTAACAAACTAAAAACAGTAATTGATTTTCGGAAGCTGATATAATTATTTTTGGAAATTGGAATTTTTCCCGACAATCGAAGGACCAAATTCTTCATATAAAAAATATTTTTGGAAATTTGGTCTGTTAATCGAAGGACCAAAATATACTGCGTCTGATTCACCAACAAATATCCTTTTATAATAAAAGCTGACAAGTTTAAAAATAAAAATATAAATCTCCTGCCATCGCAGGACCAAAATTCTGCTGCTGAATAACAAGGAACCAATTATGGCAGCTGATATATTCAACATATTCGGAAATATATTTCATATTTGGAAATATATTTCATATTTGGAAGTTTGAATTTTTCCTGCAATCGAAGGACCAAATTTCTGCAGATAATCAACAAACAAATAACTATTTATAACGGTTCTTCGGATGCTGATAATTTAAAAATAAAAATTATTTTTGGAAATTGGAATCTTTCTCGGCACTCGAGGACCTAAATATTGCTGCTGATGAATTTTGGAGATTTGAATTGTTCCTGCCATCGATGGACCAAATGCCGCTGCTGATGGCTAACAAACAAATAACCAGAATCATTATTCTTCGGAAGCTGATGAGTGAAAATAAAAATAATTGCGGAAATTTTAATTTTTCCCGGCAATCGAAGGACCAAAAAAAATGCTGCCGACGAAGGAAGCCGATGGAAATTTTGGATATTTGAATTTCTCGAGCAATCGAAGGACCAATTTCTGCTGCTGCTGCTAATTTTCAAACAAAGGATCATATACAATGATTTTACGGAAGCTGATAGTTTTAATAATTAAAGTAGTTCTGGAATAGTATTTTCACCTGCAATCGAAGGACCAAATTCTACTGCTGCTAATTAACAAACAAAGGGACCTACATTTCGTGGTTTTATGGGAGCTGAAAATATTAACATTAATAATGTAATGTAATTCATTAACGAAAATACGAAAAATTAAATTTAAACAAAAAATATTTATAATTAAATTAACCCCAAAATAAGTGATCTAATAGTGTTTTAGAGATATCAGTAAGAACAAATCGTTATTTTTTAGTTTTTAAATTAACATTAACAAAAAGTTTTTTATAGCAACGAAAAAATATAAAGTTATTAGAAAATGTCGAAGAAATGCAAACATTAATTTAATGCTAATTTTTTTTTTATTAAAAATAAAATAATCGAAACATTTATTATAAGAAAAGAAAAAACAAACAAATGAATCCTATACAAAATAAATATTTATTATAAAAAATATGAAAATTGAAAAAAAATGTTTGGAATTTTTGATAAATGAAAGATTGAAAATAGTGAAAGAGATGTAAATAATCGAAAATGTCGAATTAAATCTTGAAAAGATAAACAAAGGTATGATTGAAGTTCAAACAATTAATGGGATAGTGAAGTGAATTAGATAGTGGAACTTAGAGAGCTATCACCCAATTGTCTATTGGTGTGGATGGATAAAGGAGCTAATTAAGAGAGTTGTTTCCTAAAAATAATATGTTTTCCTTCTTTTATGGATAGAAGTTTAAAAAATGAAAGCAACTAAGTGAAGTGGATGGACTGTTGAAAACGGGGAGTATTCTCTCAATGTCATAGTGAAGAAGATAGACAATGAAGCTTTGGAGAGTCTTTCGGCTTTTAGTGCCAACCTTGCTTTCCAAAATACTACAGACACAATAGTTCAACGGATTGGTATCCGAAGATTTTGGTGGTCATTGTGCGCTGGAAATGAACCGAGGAACCTTATTTTATAACCTTTCTTTGGTGGCGCGTGTTGTGTGCAATGGTACTGAGTCCTGTTGGAATTTCCAAGGTCTGCGGCCAAATGTTTGCGTGCCCACGACTTTAATACACCCTCCAGAATATTTTCGCGATAATATTCGGCATTTATTCTGATGCCATGGTCGATTAATACGAGCGGAAAGCGACCATCGGCTGTTATGGCGCCATCACCCTGGCCGGTGCTTGAGTTCTGGTGGCCAGCCGAAGGTGCACATTTTCAGCTGACCTGTTTGGCAAGTAAACACGATCATTTTGTTTGTTTACAATCTGCTGGACAACGAATGTTTTCACCACTTCGGCCAAGCGAAGCAACTCTTTAGCTCTTTCGAGTCTATTTTCTTTCTGTTGCGGTGTAAGTTCTTGCACTTTTTGGAATTTCTGTGGCTTTATCCCGAGCTCGTTTTTCAATATTTGCCGAATGGAATATTGCTATATTTTCAGCTATATATAGGGAGTTACCCTATATTCGGTATTTTAACGATTTTACCGAAATTGTTTGAAATATCGCATTTGAAGTTCCTAATAGGTACTACACCCTGTGACAGAAAATTGTCTATGCAGGTCCAGGTCTTCGTATAGCCCTTGTATCTCCCTATATTCGGTATTATGAGGATTTTAGCTACATTATTCATTGGATTTTTTTTTCATGTTTCGTATTTGAATATTGTAATGGCTTATGACAAAAGCTGCCTATGCAGGCCCACGTCTTCCTATAGACCTCAATATAACGGCTATATTCGATATTTTCTGAGATTTTAACAGAATTTTTAACGGATTCTATTTATTATTATTTTTTTTTTTTGAAAATTTCCTAATTCGTTCCCCTGGCGGAGGGTATTCAAAGTTTGGCCCTGCTGAACTTACGGCTGTTTTACTTGTATTGTATTTGAATTATACTGGGAATATAATTTTTAAAAAAGACTGGGCATTTATTACGTACGTAGCTGATTATTTCCCGAGGCAAGAGAAAAGGAAATTCCAAAATATGAGCAAATTTGACAAGTTGTGTTTGAAAAATACTGGGAATATCGAATTTAAAGATTTTTTCTAAAGAAAATTAAAAGCATTTTCCCTTAAATCTAACCCAAAACGAACGCTAAATTAACAATTAAAAGAAAAAAAATAGTGGTGATCGCAAAATAAACTGTACAACCAAAATAAATACTACGGCCCCAGGAAATACCATTTACTTGCGATAACAAAAAATCGTCGGATTATTAAACATCGTACAAGATCACTGGACGCTTAAAGATACGTGCTCTGCTCTTTAAAATCGTGTGTGTAAATAACACTTTCCTGTTTGATTTCCGTATTACATTACAAGCATCTTTAAAAAAAGCATATGCAAAAAAACCAGTATTTTGTAAAATAACACCCACCAAAATTTAATCTCAAAATTCAAATCAACGTTTTCAAAGTTTCCTGCATCTGGCGGCTAATTCGGCAAAAATGGCATATAATTACCATGTAAGTTCTATAAAAAAAAACTTAACAGCTGCTTGAAGACAAAGCTTTATTGAAAGGTATATCCTTTTTATACCCTCAGCCATATGGCTACAGAGGGTATATATCATTTGATACGGCCAAAACGTGCCTAGTCGAAATAACGGTTTTAGACCCTAGGTCTCTTTGGACCAAATCCGTTTCAGAACATTTGGAGTCGATCTAGAGATGTCCGTCCGTCCGTCCGTCTGTCTGTCTGTCTGTCTGTCTGGCTGGCTGGTGCGCACGATAACTCTCGAAGGGAGTATCCGATTTGGTCCAAACTTGGTACATCGTAATATTTTTGTCAAACTTTGATCGAGTTCGGA